AGTGGTCTATAGCATATTTATAGAGTACACTCCTTAGGCTTCTATTAGTGATATAAAAATTATTCTCTCAAAGTGTCATTTTTCCTTTATTAGTGAAGATGTTAGCACATCATTTGGTGTGAAAAGCTCTTATAGACCTAATGTTGAGTACCATTTTGTTCCAAGATATTACTATAGTTGATGAAGAGAGCATCATAACAAATTAAAATTGCTTACTATAGCATGAAGCTGAGGTGATACACCGAGTGCCAGTAAAATCCAATATAAGGTGTATAGAGATATTTCTAAAAGGCAAGTGTTAAGCTTGGATCTGTGATGAAAAATCTACCTCTATTCGAACCCTATATTTCCATAGGGAATGAAAGCAAACAAGATTTTCAAGAAGGTGCTAGTTGTATTGCTATAACACTGATGTCAACCATACAAAACAGCTTGAAGACACTATAGTGACTAAACCTGATGCAATACTTAAAGAATGGCTAATTGCTAATGGGGTCATGCTCACCTTGGATAAGATTGAAAACCTTCAGAAATCTAGTTTCAATTTTGAGAGGAGGAGAGTTAGAGACATGTTTGACAGAATTGGCACTATTCCCACAAAGATGCATAAGAGGCTTGCAAAAAAGGTAAGGTAGTTAAATTTATTAATATCAACTCCAAGAAAAAGCAGGGGAAAATAAACTTGGCTCAAGGCTTGAGTGTGAGATCTTCTCCATGAAATACATCACTGTGCTTGCAAATTTGTTTTTGTTTACATAAATGAATGAAACTTGTTCACGAACTTCTCCACGAAATACATCACTGTGCAATGAAACTTGTTCTTGTTTACATAAAGTTTATATTGTCACATAGTAATAAAAGAACTTTTCATAAATGCAATTTATGCTCTCTATATTTGTGCTAAAAACAACAAAAAAATCTCTATAAAATTGTGTAGATAATGCTCAAAATGCTTGAAAAGAAATATATGCATCATTGATTATAATATGATAATATTCACTCCTTAGATAAATCTTAGTAAATACTTGAAATTCACCAAGTTTGTCTAAGATATAATTTATATACAGCATTAGCATTTTATCCTTCATTGTCTTTTTGTTCAAAGCACAGTAGTTAATAAATATTTGTATTGAGCCATTTTTTTTTTCATAAGTAAGACCAATGTGCTAAATAAAGACTTATTTGGCTAAATAAATTTAAAATTTAGTAATTCTTTAACTTGTTATTAAACTTCTTTTATATAACTTAGCTGAAATGAAGGTTGATAAATTAGCTTTGTCCCTAGCTTTAAAATAATTTTATACTCCACACCTTGTAATAAAGGTAACCTATGAAGAAGTTTGAATGGAAAGACATAAGTAAACTCCTTGAATACATCCTGCATTGTTGCATTTTCCCCTGTATATGTATTGGTCCTCTAAATCACAAATAAAGAGCGAGTAACTTAAAAATATTTTTCTATTATGACAAACCCACTTCAAAGATATAGTAGAGAGCATAATAACTAAAGCCTCGCAAATTCTGGAAGATCGTTTGATCACCATGCCATGCGATCCAGAGTTTAAAGCAAAAGAAAATTACTTCTCTAGATGGATTCTTATTGACGCATTCTCTTGTGGAAGATTTGTTTCTCTCATTCCATAGGAGAAGTTCCAGGTTTGTGAAGACCTCGGACAATGTGGTGCTCTGGAGGTGCAGAAAAGCCATGCATAAAAGAGCTCCAACATTCAAGATCGTCTAGATGCCCACTCTGGACATACTTTGCGAGCATGATCATTCAGGAGAGTGACTCTTGTGAGGGATGTGGATTCGGAGGATACATTGGCCGGACCTTCAACTGTTTAAAGTCCCACGGCTGGAAGAATGAAAATGAATCCTTTGAGTCATATGATAGCTATTGAAATCCTCCCGTCAAGAACTTGCTGAGCTTTTCTTGGATCAAACATTCTCGGATTCCGCATGCTTGGACGTGCAATGTGGAGCCGGCAATCCCGAGAATAATCTCGCCGCGTTGGTAAGCTCATCAGAACGAATATGGCAATCCCGTTTGATTATCGTCCTCTTGATTCTTTTTCTTTTTAACACTAGGAGCCTCGATCAGCTGTAGAGTTTCTGTGAAAGATCTGCTCTCCAATGTTATGCGGGACAAAACACGATTGATGTTCTCCCAGGACGAACTAATTTTGTAGTGATCGATTCATTGTATTTGGTGCCAAAGTATATCTTCTCGGCCATTCTAAAGTCGCTCAAGCTGACGAGATTGACCTCTTCAAGTCCAGACGTACGTAAGCACCGATTCTTCTCATTTTTCTTCCTTTTGTCGTCCCTCACAGAAGAAAAGATAACAACACACATTGACTTATAGTTAGTCACCCTTGTTAAGGCATAACATCGGACTTCAAAACTCGACCCCATCGCTCGAGGAGTGCCCCTGCTCCAGAATGTCCTTTTCCCTCCAGCTTCTTCTCTTCTTTTCCTTTCTCGCCACCCTCTCCAATTCAGCTGATCCAGATCCACTCCAAGACTACTGCCTTCCAACTCAAGCGCAGCAGCACCAGTGCAAGAGCTCGCCTTCACCCAGTGACTTCGTCTCCAAAGTCCTGGGAAACGCTCCGCCTCCGCAGACCTGGAATGCCACTCTACTTTCCTCGGCAAACTTCCCAGCTCTCAACACCATGGGCCTCTCCTTCGGCAGAGCCGACCTGGGAGTCGGAGCCGTGATCCCACTGCACTACCACCCCCGAGCATCCGAGCTCATCTACATTGCGGAAGGAGAGGTGGAGGCCGGGTTTGTCGACTCGAACAACGTCCTGTTCGCGCAGACCCTCCAGCCGGGAGACGTGATGATCCTTCCCAAAGGCATGCTCCACTACCAATACAATCCTGGCAGCAGCAGAGCCACGGTGCTGGCCTCGTTCGATAGCCAGAGCCCCGGAATCGTCCCCGCTGGCCCCGGTGTGTTTGGCTCTGGGATGCGAGACGAAGTTATCGCGGCCTCCCTCGGGGGACTGGACCACGCCACGGTCGAAGCGCTGAAAGCTAAGTTCAAGCCTCGGTCTTGATATGTATAAGAGTCGTTCGCTTGGTGATTGATTCAAATAAGCAATCCTTCACTACAAAATTAGTTCGTCCATGGGAGAACATCAATCGTACCTATCTTTCCTCATTTTTACTTCTTCGCTCGTGTCTGCTTCATTCCCGCGATGTTTACTTTTGTTTAAGAGCGAAGTGTTTTGAGGATTCCACATGCTTGAACAGCAGATTCCTGCAAAACAATAAGAAATAAGCAAATCATCACTTTGTAAAAGCAAGGATTCAAAAAAGTTAAGCTATATACCTGGAATCGAAGTCTCTGCCACAAACTTCACAGGTACTCGAGGGGACTGCTGCTGCTGCCTTGCTCTTCCCGGACTTCCTCACCTCCTTCTGTTCTACTGGTTTCTTTCCTTTCTCCTTTCTCCTGTTCTTTTTCTTGGTCGACTTTGCTTCCTGTTGAGTTTCTCCGGAGTTGAGCTCCTCCATGACATTTGCCACGTCTTTTTCTTCCGCATTAGCCTCGGACTCGGCTTCTTTTCCCGACGTAGCTTTTCTCTTTGACCATTCATCCTTGTTCTGAACTGGCACTTCATCGACCACAATCGAGTCCGATTCATCAGACTCAATTGCTCGATCCGTGTTACCCCTGTTCCGGTGTGAATTCAGCATCGCCTCGAGTATGCTCGACTCTTCGTCATCGTCGGCATTGCTCTCGCTGCTCGTGTCTGCTCCAGGACTTTGAGGTGGCGTCTCGGCTTCGATAACTTCCACAACCTTCGGTTCTGCAACCACGGGCTCGTCATGCTCCTCTTCTTCATCGACCGACTGAGCCTTGGCACGGACCTTCTCATCCTCCTCCAGCAGCGTCTCCTTCAAAGCCGACGCCCTCTCGATATGCTTCTTCGACTTCTCATGGTTGTGCCATTGCTTCTCCGACTTAAAGTTCTTCTCGCACAGGATGCAGTAAAACTCCTGCCGCTCTCCACCCCGGCCCGCCTTCTGGTTCTCCTCCCACACGGAGTAATCCTCCTCCACCTTGGACCACTCTTGCTCCTCGTAGCTCTCCACTTTCTTCAACTTCTCCACCTCTTGCTGCTGGCGCCGGAGCTTCTTCTCCTTCTCCTTTTCCTCCGCCAATCTAAGCGCCTCAAGCTTCCACTCCATCACCCTCTTGTCCCTCTTCTTCACAAACGCAGCCAGCTGCCTCACCGCATCGTTAAACTCCCGCTGCTCCCTCTTCCGGATCTTCCTGTTCTCCTCCTCCATCAACCTTCTAACTTTCCTGTTTGGAGCCTCGGAGACGTCATACTCGTCGCACCAAGCGTAGTCCTTCACCGTCTTAAACCCCGACCAAAAACTATAGAAGGCCGAGACTTCGCTATGGCTGCTAGTCGGTCCACCAAAAGGAGGAGCTTCCCTCACACTGCCGGATCCAAACTTGCGATCAAACACCTGCTCCTGGACGGAAATCTTCCCAAACACTTCGCTGTACACCGCATAGAATCCATTCCGGGAGTCGCCATAGCCGGAGAAGGCCGAGGGCGAGAAATACGACCAGAGGTTGAATTCAAACTCGGAGAGCTCATCGCCGCTAGACAGGATCTCCGACCTGTGAGAATCGTACCATTTGCGCTCCAGCGGATCGCCAAGAACCTCCCACGCGCTGGAAATCGCCTGGAATCGCTCCGTCGCCTCGCCAGCTGAAATCCCGCTCTGCTGGATCTTGTCCGGGTGCCATCGCAGCGCCTCGCGGCGGTACGCCGACCGGATCTCCTCGGCGCTCGCACTGCGCTCCACGCCCAGCACCTCGTAGAGGCATTGCTTGCGCTCCATGGGCGCGGGCTAGAACCCTAACCCTAAACCCAGAGCTAAAAACTAACCCTACTTTTAGCCCTTCCTTTAAAATCTTTAACCCTTTAAAACACTTAAAATTTGCTCGATCCAACGGCCAGGAAGAGAGCCTAGGAGAAACAGAGAAACTCTCTTTTACTGGCAGTGGTAGCCTCACTTTTAGCCTTCCAGGAATTGGAGAAGCTGGAGAAAAAACACCATGGAACGAACCATCAGATGAGAGAAAGAAAAAAAAATCCATCTCAATGAAGGAGACGAGAAGAAAAAAGAAAGAAAAAGAGAGAAGCGGAAGAGCTCGGCTCTAGTCCCCAAGATGCTTACGCTCATCCTGAGGAGGACTAGACATACCTTTCGGCGTCTCGGGATTCTCTCCCGCATCTCCGGTACGAGGTGATGCTTCACGCGTCTCCAGATCTTCTCTGGAGATATCCTCGGCCTCTGGCAGAGTTTTGCCGCTGTCTTCCACTTCATCCCTGTGCTCGTGAGCGGTGACTTCTTTAACACCGGATTGTTCGTCTCTAGCTTTCAGTTCTATCCTGTTCTCGCGAGGCTCCACCGTCGACACTTTCGCTTCCAAGTCTTCCACAAGTTCCAAGGCCTCGTCTCTAGCTTCCAGTTTCTCGCGAGGCTCCATCGCCGACTCTTCCGCTTCCAAGTCTTCCACAGGTTCCAAAGCCTCGGCCAGTTCTATCCTGTTCTCGCGAGGCTCCACCGTTGACTCTTTCGCTTCCAAGTCTTCCACAGCCTCGTCTCTAGCTTCCAGTTCTATCCTGTTCTCGCGAGGCTCCACGGTCGACTCTTTCGCTTCCAAAGCCTCGTCGCCAGCTTGCAGTTCTATCCTGTTCTCGCGAGGCCCCACGGTCGACTCTTTCGCTTCCAAAGCCTCGTCGCCAGCTTGCAGTTCTATCCTGTTCTCGCGAGGCTCCACAGTCGACTCTTTCGCTTCCAAGTCTTCCACAGGCTCCAAAGCCTGGTCTCTAGCTTCCAGTTCTAGCCTCGCGATCACTTCTGTCGCTTCGACTTCACATTTCCTGTGTTCCAGAGACTCCAGAACTCCGTCAAGTTGGCAAGAATTGGTTCTACCTTCCAATTGCTCCACGGCTTCCAGTGGCGTCGTATCTTTTCCTTCTGTCCAGTCATCCTCGGCTTTTGCCAAAGTTTCTTCCACCTCAGAGACCACGCCTGTAGCTTCTTGTTCGATTTGTCGACGCAAGTCCTCCTCGTGCGCTTCGGAAACTTTCTGTAAAGTCTCGGCATCTTCCCCCACGTCGCCCTGTACTCCATCTTCATCTCCGTCGCTGCCACTGCTCGTTATGACGTTATAGTCGAGATGACGATCGTCTGAGCCTGGATTGTCCCTTCCTCTTTCCTCTGTGTTAGTTACGTTCTTCCTGTCGTCGTCCGCTACCTCTAGGCCTATAACTATATCGTTTGTCTTCTTCTCCCAAGAAAAATCCCCACCACCATTAATATCTGTCACCACCTTTAACGCTTCACCAGCTTCTTGTGATGCGGCAGTCTCTCCTCGAGTGTGTCTACCGTCTACCACACTCGGGTCGTCTCCTGTGCCATATTCTACACCACTTTCCTCTCGCTTCGCGGTTTCTGCAAAATCGCGGCTTGGATGGGCCTCTTCTTCGGATTGTAATAGAGAAACACATTCGAGCGGAAGTAAAAACGATCCCACCAGGGACTTCCGCAATCGATTTTCCTCTTGGGGTTTCCTGTAAAGCTTGAGAGCGTCCTGAAATGGTTGGCTCCATCAGTTTGAAAGGGCAGATATCCTGGTAGAGCGTACCATACCTCAAACGGACTTGAGAGAAAAGGAGGCTCGGATAAACCATGGCCATCAACTTCTCGGAGCAAATCCTCTCCTTCGGGATCAGCCTGAAAACATCAAAAGCTTTAACAAAAAGAACAATTTAGTGTCAATAAACCGCACTCTGACCTCTAAAACAAAATCATCGTCCAAGTCTGAGGCCATAGCAGGTTCATCAGCTTCTAGCTCCACATCTGGAGCTTCAATTTTCTCGTCCGTCATAAACTTCATGTACTCCTCGTAAGCTTCAGGCCCCGCGAGCTCCTTCGAGACGCTCAGTCTGGACATAATTTGCCGCATATCTTCGGTGAATCTTGCGTCTTTCAAGGAAAAGCTCTTGCCACCAGTTGGCTCTTCATACTTGTTTTCCGGAGATGCCTGCGAAGCGTGCTCGTCCAGAGGAGCTTGATCCTTGGGTTCTCGAAAGTGCTCCATAGTAGCAGCATTGTACCAGGGGTGTGAATATCCATCTTCTCGAACGAAACTTGCCGGATCTCGCATGAATCTACTAGGATGAGAATAGATCGATCCTCTCGAGCCATAGATCGAAGCTGGAAAATGCTCCAAAAATCCGCCGACACCATAATGGGGTGCAAACGGCGGAAAAAAACCGTTTTTCCAGTTCCAAGGCTCCTCCGCGCCATCTCTTCTTCGATAGGAACCACCTCGCCTTGAATAATCGTCAGGACGACCCGAGGACGAAGGCCCCCTGCGAGACCTCTCATCTGAGGAACGCTTGTAGTCCTCGTCTCTGTAATCCCTGTAATGATGAGAACGCTCGTCGCGCTCATACTTGTAGTATCTTTGCCGCCTCCTATAGTCGTCTTCATTAGAACGATCTCTGCTGCGGCTGCGTTCTCTATAATCTGAGTCATGCTTACGCTTGTCCTTTCGCGAACTATAATCATCTCCTGGCGACCTCCGTTCGCTATCCTTGGTCCTGCTCTCTTCTCTTGACAATACTCTGCTGCGTTCACTCTGAGTGTCCTTGCGTTCTCTCTCGCCATCCCTGTCCTTGCGTTCTCTCTCGCCATCCCTGTCCTTGCGTTCTCTCTCGCCATTCCTGTCCTTGCGTTCTCTCTCGCCATCCCTGTCCTTGCGTTCTCTCTCGCCATCGCTCCTCGGCTTCAACTTATCTTTGTCCTGCTTCACTTCATGTCGCTCTCGACCGTTTACTCTTCGTTCTTCTTCGTGCGCTCGGTGAGACCTCTCATCCTTGCTGGACTTGACCTCGTGGTTTCGCTCCCTGTTGCTTCTACGTTCTTGATCATCGTCACGACTTCTGTGTTTAGATTCTTTGTGATGGCCATCCTCTTCCTTGGATGGCCTCGTTTGATCTTCATTGTCCCTGGACTTCTTTCGACTGTCTTTGCTTTGGTCAGGGTCTGTGTGTTTAACGTCACTGTGGCTTCTCTTAGACCGCTCATCCTTGTGTTCTCGATGCTTTGCACCTCTATCTCTGTCTTTCCGGTCGTCACCATCGCGTTCTCTGTCTCTCTCCGGTTCGTCCCTATGATCTCGACAGTAATGGCGTTCTTCGTCCTCGGCGTTGTAACAGTATCTATCACTCTCCAAGTCCGTGAAATTCCTGTCTCCATCTCTGTCAGCCACGCTATGCTTTTTCTCCTTGGACTTTTTGTGCCGAGGCCCAGAATCGCTACTTCGACCATGATCAGACTTACGGTCCTTTTTCTCGCAGGACACCAGAACTTTCTCAGGAGCACTTACCACAACCCCTTCATTCTCACCAGACCTCGTCTTCTTGGTAGAATGGCTCGAGTGTTGAGCAGCAGCCACATCAGAGCTATGCTTCCTCTTGTGAGAACTGTGGCCACGCTTGGCCTCGTCCCTCTCTTTCTCCTTCTCGCCACTGTCCCTGCGCTTGCTGCTACTAGATTTCCTTCTCGCTACAGTACCCGAGCCCACAGAATCGTCTTCCTCTCCCTCCTGCTCCTCTTCCAGCTCCTCTTCCGCGTCCCTTCTGTGGCGGTGCGAGCGATGGCGGGCCTTGCCGGACGGCGCCATAGCTCGAGAGACTCTACCCTAGGAGAATGCAAGCAGCGGGAGGCAGTGGCGCCTGGAGATCCAAGGCGCTCGAGCTAGACGATACCTGGCGATGATCATCGCGGCGCTGGGCTGCGCGTCGGCGCTCGTCCTCTAATCGCAGACTTAGGTTTGGAGCAAAATATTTTTTCCGGGAGAGGAATATACACGCGAATATTTTCGTTAGGGATATAGCCGGTGGCGCGACCGGCGGCCACGCTTGTGAGTCTCCGCCGGCCGACGGGCGACGGCTCCTTCCGGTCTCCGCCCGTCCATTCGAAAACGACAGCACAAAGACACCGGCATTGCCGTCGGATGGGGACATCCAACGGCCACGATCGCCCCCTCGATGGAGTGGCTACTCTACCACCGAGAATCAAATGTGTGCAAACACCACACCACACCTCTCCCATCCCACTTCCTCCCAAAGAGAGAAAAAACTCTTTTTTTTTTCTCTCTTTCTCCTCCATCGCTCCTCCATCGCGCACCGATGCGATGCGTCGTCTCCATGGTCTGATTAAAACCCATCCCTTCCGTCACTCGAGAGCACCGCTGTAGCATCACTGACTGCTTCCCATGATCGCAGTGAAGATTCTCCCTGTAGCAGCGACGAGCAATCCGTCAAGGTCGGAGTTTTCGTGAGAGCACTGGATCCATACCCCAATTCGCCGAGCATGGAGCAGCAGCCTGATCTTCCAGCGACCAGAGAGATCGACCCAGCAGCGACGACGACGACGACGACGACGATGGCGATCTCATCACCGCCACTTCCACCACCATCGCTAGCAGCGCCGGGAAGAAGCCCATCACTGGCAGCCACCACCAAGGTGAGCAACTGCAAGGAGAACGATGAGCCGAGTGTTAGAAAGGACAGGGAGGAGTGGAGCGAGGCGGCCATATCGACGCTCATAGATGCTTACACTGCCAAGTATGGCCAATTGAACGGCAAGGGGCTGCGGAGCAAGGACTGGGCCGAGGTCGTGGACACAGTCAACAGCAACCAAAAGTCGGCTAAGACGGTGGAGCATTGCCGGAACAAAATGGACACGCTTACCAAGCGCTACAAGTCGGAGAAGAAGAACAAGCTGTCCGGAGCCGAGAGCTCCTGGCCGTGGTATGACAAGATGGAGATCATACGGGGCTGCTCTCCGGGAAAATCTGTCACTGCTGCCGCCGCTGCTGCTGCTGCTGCTGCGGCCGCTGCCGCCGCTGCTGCCTCGGCAAGTAACAGCAACATCAGCAAAGCTTTTGTGGGAGTTATTCCTCCTGGAAAGGAGAGGATTAGAAACAAGAGAGGGAAGAAAGTAATCCTGAGCAACAGCGAAGACGCGTCAGTCCAGAGCCAGAGCGAGAAAAACAAGGAAGGTACTTACCCGCCGGTAAAGCCAGTGGTCGTAGTAGCACCATCGCCAGGAGGAGGAATACCAGCACCAGCAGCTCCGCCACCACCACCACCGAGTTTAAGCTTTAGCAAAGTTGATGGACCCGGTTTCAAGCCTGAAATACCGACTGCCCCGTATGCCAGGATGGATTCATCCACTGCTCACCCAAACTTTCACATCCCGGCAGCCATTCCTGCTTGGCATAACTCTCCAGGAGCGGCACCACCACCACCACCACCAGCGGTAACATTTCCTCAAGTAGCGGCGGCGGCGGCAGCGGCAGCGGCAGCAGCTGCTAGAGAACAGCAAGCCACTGGTAACAGCTTGGACGGAGGAATAAGCACTGACCACCTCTCGAGAAGTATTCTGGAGCTAGCAGGAAGCATGAGGAGCTCGGCGGGGAACTTAGCCAGCAGCATAAACGGGTTTACGGAAGTGTACGCCAGAATCGAGATTGCCAAGATGGAAATGCTGAAGGAGCTGGAGCTGAAACGGATGCAAGTACAGCTTGAGACTGCCGAGATTCTTAGCCGCAAGAGGAAGCGGGACAGTTCTTCCGATCCTGAGTAATAGTATGTATATGTAAGAAAGATATATAGGCTGCCGCTGTGAGTTTTTGTAATGAAATTTTCCTCACAGGAAATAAAAAAACCAGTGATCTGTTTCGATTTTCAAGACGTTCAGGTACCTGGCGGACGAGCAATCTCTCATCAAATTATACCAAAAAACCTTTCTCGATTTAAGGTGCCATCTTGGCGACAATCTCTCTCATCACTGACTTTGGAGCTGCACAACATGATTCAGTGGATCAACTCAAGTACGAAACAAACTGGAAAGAAGAAAACTACCTGGCTGGCCGGTAAAAAGTTCAAACTGCCCAATTGCTTGTCGTATAAACATTTCCAAGCCGCTTACGACGACTGCACCGGATTCTTTAGCTTCTCGCAGCAGCCTGGTCTCAAGAGGCGTGTAAACCGCATCAAAAACCACACTATATCCTTTGAGAGCGGCCTGATCAGGAGAAGAGAGGTAAGCACGCGATGTAAGAATCTAGTCTGGCCATGCCTTTGGTATCGGAGTGTCTTGAACGTTTGGCTGCATACCAACCGAGGTCGAATTCGCTAGTATCATGCCATTTTCCGGCTGAAAACTGCTCAACGTTTCCAATGAAATGGCTTCTGCTCCAACTGATTCAGCAAGCACCTTTGCCCTCTCTTATCACAGACCAAAACGAAGTCAGCAAGCAGGAGTTCCACGACGGAATCATTAAAGTACCAAAATTCCGATTCGCAATCACAACTCTGGCCCCTCTGTGCTTCGCTCCAAAAGCAAGAGCCTTCCCAGCACCCCCGGCTCCGATAACTACGCAAAGCTTGCCAGAAAGCGGCTGGCTACCGTGGTATCCACTTTCTTCCCTTTCCAATCAACAAGGCAGGACAAGACAATCAGAACCGCGCCATCAAACTCAAAATTCAACAATACCTCGAACACCGTCTTCTATAGCAGAAATGGCAGCTTCACAGTCTGTGTTGTAGCCAACAAATTTGCCATCTGCCCTTCTAATGATTGTGTTGACTGCTCCAATGGCCTGCATGCTTTCAAATCAATATAAAAAAACACGAAGACTGAGTTTCAAAACCTTTGCGGAAGATTCAACCTCATCACAGCATTTCAAAGCATCTTCCTTGAATGGGATCGTAACACTAGAAACAAAAAGATGAGAAGAAAAAAAGATGGTCCGGGAATGTCAAGTACCTGAAGCCACCGAAATCTGGCGCGGAGTACACCGACAGAAATTCAGCAAGGTTGTCCACCAAAAATGGAAGATAAACAGCATTGTATCCGATCGCTTCAAAAGCTGGATTGTGAAGATATGGACCTTTGCTGTGACCAACGGGGTTGCCTATGATTCCATAGACACGAGTATCACAGTCCATCTCACGCAGCCGATAGGTTCGAACGAGATCAGTCAGCGTTGGCTGGCCAGGAGCCGATTCTTTGCCAGAAGAAAGCGTACCGAATGTCAAAAAGCCTCCAAACTTTGGTGACAGCAACCTGCTTATGAGACCCTTCTGTCCCATAACGAGCGCAATCGTTGGGACCTTCAAAGAAAGCTAGCTTAACAAGCAGGATTTCTTTCGCTGGAACTTTGAAGACTTACCTGCGTATGAGCCAGCACCCGAAACACATTCGCGGAATCCACCACGTTGTTTGCAGTAGTGACAAACTTGATTATATCGGCACCAGTGGCTTGCATCCTTGCGACAAGACGTCCAATCTCCTCGGAGGAAGGAGTGGTGTGATAGTTGTGGTTGGAGACTATAATTCTGGTGCTGGACGAGCTCCGCTTGGAACTTTGGCTGGCTATGAAATCCTCGGCCACCTGGAAGAACAAAAAACTATCTTAGAAACATTCTACGTTGTTACAAAAGAGAAGGACAAAACAACTATCTTCTACGTTAGAAGCTTAAAATCACCTGGAGCTCGACGTCGATGAAATCGGCTTGTAGCTCGATTGCCAGGCTCAATGCAGCCACTCGCGCAGCCTCATCGCCTTCGTACAAACCTCCTTCCCAATTCGGCCTGTAGATCTGAGAGCATTCGTGATTTCCACAGGAAAATATAAATTCTCTCACCTATAGGTGATAATCACCGGCAAGACCCTGCCCTCGATCAATCGCGGCAAATCCACCCTCGGCTGGAAGCTGTTGATGTAATCCACTCGCAATTCCACCACATCGGCCCCGGATGCCTTCGCAGCCTTGATCTGATGCAGCATTTCTTCCACGGACTCGGCGACGAGCGGCGCGCAGAGCATCGTCCCATTTTGTGGAGGCGACATCGCTAGATCAGAGATCCTCGTCGTCGCCAATCCTCCTCCAGACAGATAATCCATAAACCCTAAGAGGACGGACTTTGAGCCGCCATTTCGCTACTCTGGTCAAGAACAAAGAATATGTTTGTTAGCTCTTTCGATTGGAATTCTTTACTACAAAGCAAACATACCTCTTTCTCCTTCCTAGAAAGGATTGTTTCCAAAACTTACAAAGAAGATGAGAGCTTCCAACTTACAGAATGGACACCAAAGTCGAAGATAGCGTTCTCTCTAAACACAGATCTTCAAGTGACCGTCCTCGGTGCCGATGACAAATTGGCGTGAAAATGGCAGCACGCTGATGGTGTGAATCGTTGACAGATTTCTGCCACTGCGATCCGGAAGATAGACTTTTCTAGGCGTTATTTTTTGACTGGAATGACCCTGAAAGAGAACATAGCTTAAAAAAAAAACCATTCGAATACAAAAACCTTTACCAGTTTCGAGAACGAGGAAACTCCAATCTTGTTTCCAGCAGCTGAGAGTATGTTGCCTCCCCACAAAGCGAAGCTCGCCACTGCGTCTCTGTGGCCTTGAAACGTCTGTAGCTGAAGGGGCCAGCTTCTGGAAACACGAAGCACGGAAACTCGAGTAACTCACAGCAATAAAAGAAAGCACAAAGAACTCACTTCCGGAGATCCCATACTGATAGTGTTTTATCCAAGGAGCTAGAAACGAGATAATACTCCTCCAGGGGCGCAAGCTAGAATGAAACTCCATGAGAAAGATACGAAAGAAGAAAGTACGTTACTTACGTTTGTGATTTCAGCTCCATGAGCTCGCCAGCTTCCAATCACACTTCCACTTCTGGCATCAAGAATACTGCAATGTCCAGAATTGAAACCGACGCCTATCCAAGAAGAGAAACACTTCGATTTCTCTTCAGGGGCTTCTCGAGACGAAGATGTCACCGACGAGACGAACGAAGAAACTGAGGTTTCTGATGAAGTTTCACAGCGCCAGGAAAACAGCTGGCGACTTGTAACAGGATCTACAAACCTGCAAATCGGGAAAACAAGAAACGATGTCCGAAGCTCGTCAAAATTTTCAAGCTCACCTGAGATGGCCATTAGTCGTTCCAATCGCAAGCTTCGTCTCTGCCTCCATGAAATGCATGAAGGTGTAAGCATTTCCAGCCGATAGTGTCCCATTCGTCAAGCTCATATCAGCAACTTCACTCTGTCTCAAAGAACCGGAGATTGAAGTTTCATCCAGCAGGGCCAAACGTTTTCCTGTTTCGGAATTCCAGATGTGAAGCATACCATCACACGAGCCAACTCTTTCGAATCCTTGAAAGACACATATATCGTTCACGGCCTGGAAACAAAGAAGTCAGCATCGCTAAGTTTTCAGCTGCTATTTACCTCTTCGTGACCAGAATACTCCGTGATACATTCTACAGATGAGAGGTCCCACTTTCGAGCGACAGATCTTCCACGTAAACCACCAGCCGAAAAAATCACAGTCTCGTCGCCTCCAAGTCGTGAGACTTTTACAGTGCCACTATGAGCACGCCAGGAATGTGCGACGATCCCATTTAGCTTCCATGACTGCTCGTCTTTCGTACCGGCGTGCGCCACTCCAATTCTACTCTTGTTGTTTGACTCGGCACCACCACGAGTTTCGTCATGAGTCGGCACCCAGAACCATGGCTCCTCGTTTGGTTTCACGACTAATTCTTGATCGTGGTTGCGAGAAGTAAAAGAGCCCGTCCACTTTGCAGCCTGGGATTGCGGAATAGACCATCCTACACCATTGAGTAGGAGGTTGGCAGGACTAAAGCTTCCAGTGTTTGAAGACTCTTCTACGGGCAAAGCTTCTGTAGAATGAGTGAACTGTCTGCTAGTGTCTGTCCACTGCAACAAAACTCCCACAATAAACTTACGACGGAGCCAACTCAAACTGCATACCTTCCAATCATATTTCTTTGCAAGGCTTTGTTCCAGAACAAGCCATGTCGGGAAAGACTGACGAACTCTCTCAATTCCCAAGAGTGATGCCAATTCAGAATACAACAAATATCTGAACGACATCAGTTATGTCAGTAAGGAAGAACCAAAAGAGAAAAAAACATACGCAAGGTCCAGTTCCTCGGAAATGTTGCTGTACGCAAGGGCATGAAAGAACTCTTTGAATTGCGGCATGACGTGTAGAAAAGTAAGCTCTGGTCCACTTCGTCTACAAGCGGCTAAAATACTTTTTGCTGCGGACTGCAAAAAGGAAAAAAAAAAAAAAAGTGACACCAACAAAACAAAAGGTTTGAACAACCTGACGAAAGCGATGTGGCAAATTCTTTTGCTGGAAAATTTTGTAGAGGAAATTGTTAGGTTCCTGCACAAGAAATCGATAAACGCAAGCTTGGAGTAAATCTTAGGTACCTGCAATAACTCTCTCGATACGGAAACTGGATTCAATAGCAATACGAGACGACTTAACACGGTCAAGGCATCAGCCGCTGCCAATAAACGCCAGCTTTGTGTTGGTGCAGTCTTATGTGTTAATGGCTCAATACTGAGCATGAGAACGTACTTCAAAGGTGGAAGCCAATGCTTGATAATTGCCTCTGGTCCAAATTTCTCGCCTGAAACAGCATAATTCAAAACGAAGAAGAATGTAAAACAAAAGAAAGTGCCTGACTGACCGATTTCTACAAGAGAATCAACTCCATGCACAGTGATGTCACGTCCCAATGACTGCAAGAGTGGCCGAATTGTCTAGGAAACAAAAGAACTACGTTAATGAGTTTCTGACCAATTCAACAGTTAATCCTTTTACCTGGTTCAGTGTGACTGGCAATCCCAACTCTTGGCAAGTTTCCACCAAAACAAGTGATGCTGCACTCGCTTGCTGGCTTTCGGGCGAACGTAGAACACTGAGCACTATAAGCGAGTGGAAGTGCTGCAAATACACGTGTGTACCAAGGAGTCGTCTCAAGTTTCTGATGAATGAAGATCCAAGTAATCCAGCTTTCAACTGAGCATCAGCATCGTTTTCCTGCAAAAAACAATACAAGAAATAAATAATCTGATGCCATAGATTTATGCCATCAGTTCAGACTTACTTGCAAAATGCTTTGCACGACTGGCAAAAGTAGACGCCTTGAAGCCTGTTGCTTGAGAACTTGAAGCAAAGATTTCAGCAGGATAATTACTGCCATAGGATCGAGATCATTGTAAGGATGGGCGATGACAGACAAACAAGCCGGTGCACAAAGCTCGGAAGCAACTGGTCCCATGAGAGCAAACGCAGACTGTTGAGCCATTTTCGCTGCATAGAACAGGCGGTCGTGGTTGCTGGCTAGAAAATGAAACGAAGAAAGGAATGTGTAAGCTGACCGAACTACCGGAGGGAAAAACGGTGACTCTAGCAACTTCTCAGCGCTTGGCCGTCTAGAAAAGAAACAAATGCCCGTTAGATGAGCTGACAAAAAAATCAAAAAGGAAATCTACCTCTTGATGTCCGCGGCGAGAGTTGTTTCCACGACAATACGAACGTGAGGTGGAAGCTGATTTAGAGTTCCTGGAAGTGATTTCCTTTCCAGCCAAACTGCAGCACTGGTTGAATCAAAGAGCGGCTTTTGAAGAAAAATCTCTGCAACCAAGCATCCGATGCCGAATATGTCAGCAGCCTCGCTCTCCCGGATCGGCCTTAACACCGAAACTTCACGTTGCCATGCAACTAGTCTCTGATAAGATACGTTCTCGTCGTCGACGTCATCGTCCTGCTCGAAATGGAGCTTCTGGAAAAGCTCACCCCAGAGTTTCTCGTCGGACTCTGCGACGTTTCGCAATATCGCCTCGCAGGCGTTTGATGCAACTGGAGGATGATCCGAGTTTGTAGAATTGTGTCCATCCGGATCGGGCACTGGTACACCATACCATGGAGACAAACTCCTTCCAGAACTGCAAAAGGACGCTGACTCCTCGAGCTGTTCCAAGAGGTTTTTCTTGGAGCTGGAAGTCATTCGCATAGGATGCGGCTTCGAAAACAGCTGCCGTCGTCCTGATGATCTCGGCATGCTCGGTGCTGTAGTTGAAAGCGTAACATTCTTCGCCAGAACAGCAGCTTCACCCGACAACTTATAACCAAAAGTGAGATCAATCCACTCGTGGAGCTGCCTCGAAACACGGTCACTCTCTAAAGCAGAACGGTGTAAACGGATAAAGTCCTCGGGATCTTCAGCCCAGCTTGGAACAGCAAGATCACCCATACCATGGTGTATCGACCGGAAAACTTCTGGATCACTGTAAAATTCTGGAATGCACTCGTCCGGCGTCCAGTGGTACAGCCTTTGCATGTTCACTGGGTACTCGTTCGGCTCGTACACTGAGCGCACAACTCGACGAAGTACCAGCAGCGGAAGCCTTCTAGCTTTGTAGATGCAGACCGCGAGCTCCGAAAGGCACTCGTCCGAGACGTGGTGTGGAATCTCGGCGGTGGCGTACGTAAAGTCGAGCTGCTCGTCCCCTTTGGCTAAGCGCCATTTGCTCTTCGTCAAGTCACGCCAGCCAGTGTCATTCTCTTGGTCGGGTTTTGCTGTGAAGTCTATCACCCACGGCATGACCGTATGAAAGCACCTGTCCCCCCATCTTCTTCCGGCCAGCCTGTTGAGAAGTAGAAGATAGTCGAAGTTGCTAAGCTCTCCCCGGAACCACTTCTTAAACTGGCTTCTCCACTCGAGCTCGTCTTCAACTAGAGAAGTCTCCGTTGTTGGATTAAATACTTCACGACGTATAGAGGTCGTAGCGAATCCTGTAAGCCAACACCACATACTGCTCGTGATGAGCACGCTGGATGGAGTTATGTTTCCGTGAAAAACTTCCAGCTTGTGGCAATGAGCCAAACCGGCGATGATCTGATATAGAAAGAACCGCAGCTGCCAGTCATCTCCCAAGGCACCCGGGCTAAAATGTAAGAGCGAACGCAGCGTATATGGGGCTGGCGGAAAAACTAGATATAATGTCTCGTTCCCCAGGAACGCACCTGTGAGCGGCGCTATGCACGGATGACTACTGCCAAGACAAAGCTGGAGTAATCGCTGTTGATAATCTCCATCCCCTTCCCTTTCCTCTACAGCACTATTGCTCCTACTAAGATCCTTCAAACCACTTGAGAAAAACCTGGTTTTTTCGAGTGCCAATACGAGAGCTTCGAAGGACGCGTCTTCCAGAGTTGCATCTCTGTGTAGAACTTTCAGGAATTTGGAGAATGCTGCTAGAGGAGCTGAATCCCTGAGAGCGAAAAAGAGAAAAAAAATTAGTCATGGCTTATAAAGTATAGCTTCTGTTACCCGGGAGGAAGAGCAATAACACGCAAAACAAGTTCCATTTTTGAATCTCCCCTGGCAGAAATCGAAGAGGTTTCAGCAACAAAAGTCACGAAATCTCTACAGCATACCATTTTTTCCGATCCAAAGTCGCTGTATCCACCTGAGATTTCCACCACCAAACGAGCTCTATCAATCGATCGATCAATCAAAGCTCTAGTTAATTACCTCGCAGAACAAATGCGCCCCAAACGGATACGGCGATCGAAAGAGGCCATGAGAAACGACCACATTCTTCGAGAAATCACGCTCCACGGCAGCGCGCAGCTCATCCAAGGACGCCGCGGCTCTCTTCTCCGCCATGATAAACCCTAGAACAGCCAAGGAGCCCTAAAAACAGAGTGACGTTTTATCAAAATTTAAGCGGCATATTTAAAACTGGAGAATATTCTCTTTTAAATCTGTTTTATGTCAGCCATTTTTAAATCTTTCCTAGGGCCATGGAATGGAGCTACGCTTTATTGGAGGAAAAGAGGTGGAAGAAAGGATGTGGATTGGTCAGATCGCTCAAGAAGCTACTTGGCGGGCTGCTGAGCTGCGTGATTGGCTGCGCCTCCCAGCTCATAACAGAGATCCTAGAAGATTCGTGCGGCAGTGCTTGTGTCTTGTGCGCTGACCTCCGTTGACCAATCGCCCCATGGCAGTCATCGGCGGTCAAAAGTAATGGTTGTGGTTGAATTTATAATACAAAGTGATGTGTGCTTGAGCAGGGCACTATTTTACCTCACACTCCTATATGGTCCCTTTCATTGATCTTGTTATTGTTTGCACGGGCTCTCATATAATAGGTTATCATGCTCAGCTAATGTGCATATAATTTTAGTTTAGCAACTTTGGAATTTTATATGGCTGTGTATCTTTATTTCTATTACCCATTAATGTTGGTGACATCTGCTGGAATGTCCACTACATCAGTATGTTGTTAGTGTTGTTCGCACCCACAACACATAGTGATGAAGCATGAAACTCGTGGTTACACTATCGTATGTTGGATTGCCCTCTCAAAAATTCCAATTCTCACTTTGAAAGGTCATCCAGGGGAAAATCCACCCGACAATTATTGACTCCAGCTCCTTCTATACTATAGTAGCAAGGATATCGATCGATCAATATCCAGCATGATATTATCTTTGTAACATTTTGGGAGCTCACGTTGATTAGTAAGATCGCGCGGCAGCCTCGAGATAGCCAATGTAGGTGAATAGAACACTCGTGAGGCGGCCGATAACCTTTTCCTGGGACGCTCCCTCCATGGGGCTCAGCTCAAACGACCACTCCACGGTGTTATGCCCGTCCGGCCCTCCCAAAACTCTCATGGTGGCGACGTAGTCCTCCATTCCCAAGTTGGACTCTATCAGCGCATAGGAGATGGTGTGGCTGGATTCGTCCATGGTCAGGAGCTTCTCCTTGGCCCACGATTTGCGACCGTCGCATCCGGTGGACGAGCCCTCGACGTAGCGGACGCTGCCGGGCGCGCGGGGGTGATCGCCCGCGATCCAGCGGCAGACATGGAGGGCTGGGATCCACTGGTGGAGATTGCAGTAGTCGGAAGCGACGGCCCACAGGCGCTCGATTGGAGCGGAGACGACCTTGCGAGTGCTGCCGCGCCACTTGTAACGAGAGCTTGAAGAAGACATGATTCTTACAAGAACTCCACAGAGAGAGAGAGAGAGAGAGAGAGGGAGAGAGAGAGAGCGAGAGAGCGAGCGAGCGCTTGAGAGAAGGAAAACGCAGAGCTCTAATGCTATGGAGGAGCTTGGGAGGAGCTTTGCGGGAGTGAAAAGAATTAAATAGTCGATGGATGATCGATTCATCGACCCCTCCCCTCTGAGATCTAGCGAAGCCCAAGTTTAGGGAGTTTCAGAACTCATACACGTGGACGGCCGCGATGTGGCCAGGGGAAATTTGTTTTTAAACCGGGTGTGGCGCGATTCACGGCGCGCGAATCTTTGGAGGGGCATTTTCTCAGTCCCGTGTTTGTGACAACTACTCAAGCAACTTTGAAGCACTATGGAGAAGTCGGACTCCTTTGGATTCCATTCCAGTAAGGCCAAAGGGCTTTTTGTCAAGAGCCATATACGATCGAGTTTTTTACTCGCACGGTAAATCATGGCACATGAGCCAACCAGTTCTTTAGCTTTAGGTTTACAGGGCTAAATTAGGTCAAAAAACATCCAGCCACACCTTTTCTTGCCGCATATTTTATAATGGCATATTCGGCGAAAGGATATTCTATGAGAATTCCAGGATTTTAGGGTTCGTCCATTTTTGCGGGATCCAATGCAGGGATTCCTCGACCAGGCAGACGACGGTGTCCTGTGCGCGATCTTCTCCTTCCTCTCTCCGCGCGACATTGCGAGCTGTGCCGCCGTGTGCCGGCGATTGCAGCGCCTCTGCCGCGACGATACGGATCTCTGGCTCGCGCTCTGCCACCGGCGCTGGGCCGGATTCACGAGCTTGAGGGATTGGAGCAGGAGCGTGCTGGGCGACGATGGCGAGCTAGGGTTTATGCGCTACAGAGGTTTGTACAAGCTCCTGGCGAAATGGGGGAGCTTGATTGGCTTCTGGCGGGGTGTCAATGGGAATAGGTCGCAGATTCTGGGATTTGAGTGGCGCAGGAACTCGATTCATGGGTTTCGGATCGTTCCGGCGAGCAGGGGAAGCTATCAAGTGCGAAGAATTCCATTTCTGTGGCTGGGAGCTGCCGCGAATGGGAAGGAGATTTGCGTCATGAATCCAGCGCTGGATCGGGATTACGGCTGCTGCAGGTGTCACGCATCGAAGGATTATCCAGGTAGCTCCAGGGATGATCATGGCTCTTCCAGCAGCGAAAGGATTGGCGATCTCTTCGCGGGGATGGACTCCGAGTGGGATGTGGAGGATTTATCTCGACTCGGGCTGGTTCTCGTCGACGTCCACTTTGCCGGGAAGAATCACATCGTCTTGGAGGAGCTGAATTGCCAGAGGCAAGTAACGAGGATGAAGATCTCCCTGGCCGAGGCGGTGGCGAGTGCCTCGTTTGGATTCAGCGAGAACTTGGAGATCACGACGAGGAGCTATGGCAAGAGTCCTCCCGGGAGCTTTCCTTTCGAGATGTATCGCTTCCTCACGAGCAAAGTGACGAGCCCCGGAAGCGATAGAGCGGCCAGGAAGCAGTGGAAGAGAGACAAGGAGCGAGCCGAGAGCCGAGGAAGGCTATGGTGGCTGGAGCAATTGCATTTTGTCAAGGTGGTGGAATCCTCTCCAACGAAATCGAGGCCATTCCAAGGATTGTGGAAGGTAATCAAGATCTCTCTTTCTTTCTCTAGATCGCTCAAGGTTTTTTGTTTTCTCGATCCTCTTCCAGGGGTTGTGTCGATGCGAAGCTTTGGATTTCTTGCTCGTCGCCTACGACGACGATCGAGGCGCGATCACCTCCAGGCAAGTTGGCGAGTCCTCGTCAATTCGATCTTCGTGGATGAATCTCTCGGCCAGAAATTTCCAGCAGATTGATCTCGAGACAATGGCATTTCGATTGCGTTTGCCGGACACGAATCTCTCCACCGATTTTAGACCGCTCGCCTCGTCCGGGAACTTACTGGACGTTGTCAGCTGAGAGTCCCGGGGAGAGATCTCGAACCCGCGATCTCTCTAGTTTTGTACACTCGATTTATCGCGCTTAGGCGGACTTACAAACCCTAGGCCTAGGTAGCTATGGCGGCCTCTTAGGGTTTTTCTCCGCGGCGTGGGGTTTTGTGATCTATCCGAGGCGGTGGCGATGCATGCGTAGATCGATCCGGCAGGTAGAATTTGAGATCCCCGACTAGATGTGTATCGGATTCTAGAGTCTCGCCAGAAAATCCACAGCATTGTCTCTGGAGATGGAGCGCAGCAGCAGCAAGGTTGGCAATGGCCAGGCATCCAAGATTTCGGCATCGCCGAACGATGATCAGGGGATATTTCGCCGCGCCAAGCGCTCAATCGATGATCTCATCACGCAGGCTCGTCGATTCCGGCTCAAGACGAAGCAGCAGGAGCTCCTGATCCGGGTCAGCGCGTTGCTACTCATCTACGTCCTGGCATTCGCGACGCGGCTCTTCAGCGTTCTTCGCTACGAGAGCGTGATCCACGAATTCGATCCATACTTCAACTACAGGACCACACTCTATCTCACGCAGAAAGGATTCTACGAGTTTTGGAACTGGTTCGACTATGAGAGCTGGTATCCTCTGGGCAGGATCATCGGTGGGACTTTGTATCCGGGGCTCATGGTCACTGCCGCGCTACTCTACTGGACGCTGAGGCTTCTAAGTTTCGCCGTTCATATCCGGGACGTTTGCGTGCTCACCGCGCCTTTCTTCGCCTCAAACACAGCCATGGTCGGGTACTTCTTTGGGAAAGAGCTCAAGGATCCAGGGACTGGATTGGTGGCGGCAGCGTTTCTAGCAATCTGTCCGGGATATATCTCGAGATCGGTGGCCGGGTCTTACGACAACGAGGGGGTGGCCATCTTTGCGTTGCTGCTTACGTTCTATCTGTTCGTCAAGGCTGTGAACACGGGATCGCTGGCTTGGGCCGTGGCCTCGGCGTTTGCGTACTTCTACATGGTGTCGGCCTGGGGAGGATATATCTTTATCATCAACTTGCTGCCGATCTACGTGCTGGTTTTGCTCGTCACTGGGAGGTACTCGCTGCGGCTCTATGTCGCTTACAACACGCTCTACGTCCTGGGCATGCTCTTGGCGATGCAAATTCGCTTCGTCGGCTTTCAGCATGTCCAGTCCGGGGAACACATGGCCGCAATGGGAGTTTTTTTCCTCATGCAGGTACTACAAATCGTTCTTTGCTGTGGAAAACGAGCTAAGACCTTTGCTTTCCTTGCTTGCAGGTGTTTTATCTAGTGAACTGGGTGAAGAGCATGGTCGAGCCCAAGCTCTTCCAAGCGTTCCTCAAGATCGCTGTGATTGTCACCGGAGGTGCCGGCGCACTGGCACTGGGTGTGGGAATGGCAACGGGTTATATTTCTCCGTGGACAGGCAGGTTTTACTCGTTGCTGGATCCAACTTATGCCAAGGATCACATACCGATTATCGCCTCGGTCTCTGAGCACCAGCCGACAGCGTGGTCATCGTTTATGTTCGACTACCACCTCCTCCTCTTTTTGTTCCCGGCGGGGCTTTTCTTCTGCTTCCGACGACCGACGGATGCCACCATATTTATCATGATCTATGGTCTGACAAGCTTATACTTTGCCGGGGTTATGGTTCGGCTGATCCTCGTCGCAACGCCGGCGGTATGCCTCATCGGAGCTATCGCGGTGTCCTCGACTTTGAAGAACGTATGTGGTCTTCTACGTGAGAAACCTGTGGGTAAAGTTCTTGAAAGACAAGGCAAAGACAAATCAAAGGTAAGTAGCTTTTGTACTTGTTCTCGCCTTTGTTTAATGTCTTGTATGGTTTCTACAGGGTGGATCGGACCAGTCGATTCCGTTCCAAAGGGAAGCCTGCATTGTCGTCCTCGCCGGAGCTCTTTATCTCCTGACGAGCTATGCTTTGCACTGTACTTGGGTGACATCCGAGGCTTATTCTTCACCCTCCATAGTTCTTGCTGCACGGCAAAGCAACGGAGACCGAGTTATCTTCGATGACTTCCGTGAGGCTTACTTCTGGCTTCAGCACAACACTCCTCCAGACGCGAAGGTCATGTCTTGGTGGGATTATGGGTATCAGATCACCGCGATGGGAAACAGGACGGTTATAGTGGACAACAATACGTGGAACAACACACACATTGCTACTGTAGGACGAGCAATGTCGTCCTACGAGGATGAAGCTTACGAGATCATGCGGTCCTTGGATGTGGATTACGTTCTGGTAGTATTCGGTGGTGTCACTGGCTATTCCTCGGACGACATAAACAAGTAAGCAGTTGATCTTCTCGGTTTGTTTCTTCTTTTCCTGCTGACGAGAGCTCAAACTGGGACAGATTCTTGTGGATGGTTCGGATTGGAGGTGGCGTATTTCCCGTCATCAAGGAGTCCGACTATCTCAACAATGGAGAATACCGGATCGATGCAGCCGCGGCTCCAAAGATGCTAGAGTGTTTGATGTAAGCAATTTCTAAGATTGTTTTCCAATCTCTATCGTGTTTCTGTGTTTCCCCAGGTACAAGTTATGCTACTATAGATTTGGGGAAGTATCTACAGAGTATGGCAAGCCTCCGGGGTACGATATCATCGCTGCCTCTCGGTTTCCAGTTTTTGATGCATCGTTGTTTTTTTTTAATTTATAGGTGGGATCGTGCTCGGGGAACTGTAATTGGCAAAAAGGATTTCGAGCTGGAGTACCTGGATGAAGCATTTACAACGTCAAATTGGATTGTTCGCATTTACAAGCTCAAGCCCCCTGCAAACAGGAAATAAACAACCAATTTTGTAATCGCAGCCAAAGACTTTTGCAAATCAAGTTTCTAACTCTCTTTTCGTATTGAGCACAATCAAACAACTTTGTCTCACAGTATTTTTTTGACAGAACTTCCATCTGAATGTTTGAATCCATCTTACGTTTTTGTAGATTTGGAGAGGGCCGTCCATTCATCCATTTTGGGAAGATGGTAGCCTGGCACTCTTTCGAAGGTCTGAGCAGATCTTCACAGCCTT